TCACAACAAAACAGTGTTTCATAATTGAAGAAAACATAACTTCATGTACAGTCTACGCAAAAAATTCTGGAACACTCAAGAATGACTCTGCAAAATTTTATCTTTCATTTGAAACAAACTTTATATATATTTTAAGTATAGTTACTGGTTAAAGTTTCATATAATATTAAAACTAGAAGTTTTGCATCTGCACAGTAAAGTACGAAAGTTTAACCAGTAACTATACTTAAAAAATATATATAAAGTTTATTTCAAATGAAAGATGAAATTTCGGGGAGCCATTCTTGAGTGTCCCAGAGTTTTTTGCGTAGACTGTATATACGTCAAGATTTGATATGAGAGTACTTCTTTTGAGTTTGAGAACGCATTTCTTTTTTCAATAAGATCCAATGCCATTTTTTGAAACTGACGCAAAAGAAAACACACTGTCTGTATTCAACTGCTGATTTTTTATAGATGGTTTCTTCACAAGACAATCGTATTCATTGAAGTTAGCTTGAGATTAATAACTCTGCTAGTAGCAGAATTCACTGTGAATAGATTCCATATATACTAATCAAATTTCCACATAAGCAACTGAATAAAATGAGTTTGATAAAAAAAATTAATTTTCTTTTTTACATTTATTTAGTTATTGAGAAGGCAAACTGTTGCCAATGATAGGTCTTAGCCTAGAGAAAAAAGAATAGTATGGGATATCGTACCAAGATGCTAGGCTACGCTGACTGTATTGTTCTAAGAACACTTCTTACCAACGATGGTCTCCTCTTTTTCACAGGATGATATCTGCTTCTTTCTTATTCTACACATGTGAAATAAGTGAAGCAAACTCATTTACTAACGATATATTGGACAAAAATCAAGTGAAACTAAGATTTGTTGACGGAACTACCAAAAAATATGACTTTTTTTAGGGACATAATAGAAGACCCCCCTTTTAACTTATGAATGATAAGACAGAATAGAAGACCCCGGGTCTTCTAATGTGTCGATGGCTTTAGCTTATTCACATTTGATGTGAAGTATTATTTCTTATATTCTTGTTTTTTTGTGTCGAATAATAAACCAATCAATATAATTCATCAATTAAGAAGCCAAAGTATTTTTAGATCTTTTATTTCTTTTCTTATTCAAACAACAATTCATCATTAGTTTCATAAAGAAAGTTAACATTAAGGTAAAAAAAAAAGTCAAGAGTAAAAGATGTCATTTGAAATCTTTTCATTACTTAGAAATCGACAATAAACTGATTATGTATCCACAACAATATCCTGTATCAGCACCACCGGCTTCCTATTCAAATCAAGTTGATCTTAACTCATTACAAGAAACACATGATGAACGTATGAGAAAATTTCAATATCTAGTTGATCGATATGAAATCAATCGAGACTTTGCAACAAGATTACGAGGATTAGAAGGATATGAAATCGTATTTATTGTTGATGGTAAGAAAAAGACATTGAATGAGATCATTTCATACTAAACAAATAATACCATCATTCTATTTTTTATAAAATGATATCTTTTGTAAATTTATTTAGATTCCGGATCGATGAATACACCACTTGGTAAGAGAATGGATGTTTCAGAATAAATATCTCTCTAAGTATTTTCCCTGCATCGTTTTCTTTTTAAATTCATGATTCAATTTTCTACGAGAATTGATTATCAGTTTGCCAATAAAAATGTTAAGCAGAAACATCAGATAAATAATACTGCAAAACTTTTCAAAAAATTATTGTTCAGGACAATGCAACTGTTTTTATTTTCAGCTGCATACAAATGTAACAAAATGACAGAGTAATAACTAAGTGCATTCTTTCTCATGTTGTACAATGGTATTCGTTTCAATCAGGTTTTGTGTTTTTTAATACAAATATTACTTTTTGAAATCAGAACTAAAAACATATCAAAATTCTAGTTAGCTTTCTCAATGTACTCGAATAAAATTTTCTAAACTTTCAATCTGATGTAATATTTCTTTTGAAATCGAATTAAAATTGAATTATATTAATTAATTATGTTGTCGATCGACTAATACTGAGTTTTTTCAGAGTCTTCGAATTCTTATTTTCGGAAAGTTTGGAAACAAAAATAATTCATTTAACTGACCAGTATTAATACAACAAGTTCGTTGTACTGGTCATAACATAAATCTTTTCAAGCAATACAACGTTGCTATCGATTTTGAGAAAACACTTAGAGGGACATATGTTATAACGTGCACGTTATTTCGACAAAAATTCTTATTTCTTACGAATATTTGAACAAAACTAGGTGATATATCTGGTCCATACGGTCGTAATCCAACAAGATGGGATGAACTTCGACAAACGGTTTCAATTGTTGTTGATATTGCATCTGTGTAAGTTAGTTTTATTTTTATATATTAAAATGGATACTTTTATTTATACAAAATATATAATCAAGTTTTGATCCAAATGGTGTTGGTAAATGAAAAATTAAAATTTTAATAATAATGTAATTTTTTTTTTTTTTATTATAGACATTTTCTTTTTAAATCGTCAACCAATGCGTAATGTTAAACATGCTGAACAGCTTATTCCTGTATTTGCTATTCCACCAGCTGGTAAATGAGAATGCGAAAAAAAAAGAAACAATTTTTTTAAAATGAATTACGATATTATCATAGGACCAACTCCAATTGTTCGTATACTTCGACAAATTTTACAAGAAAAACAACTTGAAGTTCAAGAACGTAAATTATTAATATTAATTGCTACAGATGGTATACCTACCGATGATAGTGGAGAACAAGATATAAAAACATTTGAACGTGTATTACGTCATGAACGTAATCCAATTAATCGAAATTCCAGTTGTAATTATTGCTTGTACAGATAATACTGAATGTATTGGGTAAATGAAATTTACTTTCTTTTGTTTTTTGGTTCATTTATGATTCTTTATTTTCTATAGTTATCTTAATAATTGGGATAAGAAAATACCT